CTCCACTGTGCAGCCTTCATTCTGGACTTCTGTCATGACAATAATACCTAATCATATATCCCTTTTAAACAGTTCTTTCCCTCATCTCTTTCAATGCAGTATACATTATTTATCCTCTCTTTCTCAGGTTTCCCTCAATCCTGATTTCAGTCCTGTTTTACAACAGTGGCCCTATGCAATATTTGACCTTTTAAGATGGAGATATTCACTCAGCATTATGTCCTCCAGGGTCACCCATTTTATATAATATTTCATGAGCTCATTGTTTTTCAATGCAATGTAGTGTTCCACTGTGTGAATATACCAGAGCTTCTCTATCCATTCATTTGTTGATGGGCACTTGGATTGTTTCCACCTCTTTGCTATTGTGAACAAAGCCACAGTAAATGTGTGTGCATATGTTTGCTTGGGTGGCGGTTATGGTTTCTTTAGGGTATATTCCCAGTAGTGGAATTGCTGGGTTAAATGGTATTTCTATTTGTAACATTATTTTTTTAACTTTTGGAGAAAGCGCCATACAGCCTTCCATAGTCGCTGCACCATAAAATGATTTCTTTCTTTTTTTTTTTACCCTTTTTTAAATTACTATTAATTATAATGAAAATTTACAGAGACTTTGGATTCATTGTTACAGGTGTCTGTGACTTTTTATATGTCCTATTGTGAAACACAGGAAGAAAGTATTCAATTACTTTGTGAACACTAAATTGTTTTATTGTATTAGAAGTTCTTTTGAGAAGCTGTAATTTGAAAGAAGTAAAAATTGACATATTCTTACTTGTCAGAATTTCTTTTTTTTTTTTTTTTTTTGGGGTGTACCGTCAAATCAGATCTGACTGGTACAGGAGGCGATTGTTCCTCCTCCTTCAGCAGAGCATCTGGTGGATTTGAACCGCGCACCTCTGGGATTGCAGTACAGTTTCCTGCCACCAGAGCTCGCCACTTGTCAGAATTTCTTACATCCTTGGTGGTAGGAAGACCTGGTACATGCTGTCGGATATGAACTAATTTCTATTCATTGTGACAGTTTAGCACAAATGTTGTAACTTTAGTCAGCACTTGCACATTAGCTCATAGCTCTGTGGTCCTGCTATACCACCAGGACTCTAATAAGGATGACAGCAAAAAAATTCCCACAGTGTTCCTCACTGTCACACTTACGATCACCATGAATCGCAGTCTATTTAGTGCAATGAGTTTAGTCTTTTGGTTTTCATATGCAAAGTCTGCTCCCTCCCTGAGAAGTTCTCTGGGTTCTTTCCTCATTCTAGCATTTAGAAATCCTGAGTGAGAATGAATGAGGCTCCTTGGGATTGGCCACTAAACATACTCTTGGGGTCTGCCAGTGGCCTTTTAACATGAAAAACATGGAGGGAAACAACACCAGGAATTTTCTTCTGGGGTTCAGTTTTTGAAAGATAAGCTAATTAACGCTCCTTCCCCTTTCTCTCTGGAGGAACAAGCACATAATGATTGATTTGGGCACCGGCAATAACAACAAGATCAATTGGGCCATGGAGGATAAGCAGGAGATGATCGACATCATCGAGACTGTTTACCGAGGGGCACGCAAGGGCCGAGGACTGGTTGTATCTCCCAAAGACTACTCTACCAAGTACAGATACTAAGCTCTGCTCTGTGTAGATGTTGTGGAGTCATTTCCATGTACAACGCCTGCTGAGAGCCTTTAGGAAAGTTTGTGCAAGTCAAGGAACCAGAATGTTTTTGAAGGAAGGAATTGAATAGCCTTAAATTTTCAGTCTGCCAGTCCATTGTATTTTTATATTGACAAATAAATGTAAATACCTAACTAAAATAAATATAGTGCAAGGTGATGAACCATTAAAATTTGTTTTTAAGAACCTTCATGAATGGATTACTGATTTTGTAGTCAGTATTTCTGATCTTTACTGCTAGGATGAGATTTTGAAGCTGGTAGGTTTTATATATTAGCCAGCAAACCATATCCTATAGTACAGGAAGAATACACAATTAGGATAGAAATATCTTTTATTCTCTGGATTATTAAAACTTTATAATATTTCAGAAGAGGACATGGAATAAAAGATGTCATTGTTTATATCAAATGGATCTTAGCTGAAAACAATACCACAAAGATGTTCATGTGTTTTATTTGCTATGCAAAAACATTCCACCGTATGGCTCATAACATATCATTGGTAATGTTGCAAACAGTGGGAGGGCTAGAGTGCTAAATTGTGTTCATATGAAATCTATTCATAGACTAAAAAACAGTCCTTTGAATGAAACAAAGGGATACTGTGCAGTATAATATCAGGGAAGAGGTATGCCAGGGCTGTATCCTTTCATCATACCTATTTAATCTGTATATTGAGCAGATAAGCCAGGAGGCTGGACGAAAGAAGAATGTGGCATCAAAGTTGAAAGAAGACTCTTTAGCAACCTACAATATACGAACGACACAGCCTCATTAGCTGAAAATGTAGACGATGTGAAGTACTTACTGATGACCACCAAAGACTACAGTCTTCGGTATGGATTATACCTCAAAAAGTCTTCACAACTGGTATCTTAACAGAAAATAAAAATCCTCACATCTCACATCTAGACCAGTAAGCATCATAATGAGGAGAAAATAATTGAAGTCAGTGAATTAATTTTACTTGTATCCATAGTCAGCATCTGTGAGAAAAGCAAAAGGTGTGGGGAGCACCATATCTGACCCTTAACCAAAGCGTCAACACAAAACCAATTCCCGTGACATCAGATAGGTTGCTCCCATGCTCCTATACCTCTTTCTACTCATCTCAACACCAGTCTTGCTGCTTTGCAGGGTGTAGAATTAGATGTGATAGCTCACAGACCACACAAAACCATACTGGGGAAGTTAAAGGTATAATTCAGATTAATAATAGAATGCAGACGAAACAGCTCCCAAAATGTACATGCAGGTACCTCAGCCTTGATTCTTGTGGCTGTAAGTGTTCCCAGGTTCTCAGTCATGCGAATATTGGTTTCCCTCTGCAATTGTCCAACAATGTCCTTGGTCTTGACAATATTGTTCATCCACCCCCCCACCCCTTTCCCAAGTCCTATCTCGTGCCAATTCTCCAGTATATCTGTGATTGCTGCTGCTGTCTTTATGTGTCCTACGTTTTCCTGCCACCTCTTCACTGAGGTAGGAAACGTCTCTTTCCTCTTCTCTGGCTGGGGAGGATTCTATCTCTGAAGTTTGAGCTGTTCAATTTATTGTCGAGACTAGCCAATCTTGTAGATTGTTGAGACTGGCCAATATCCTCATGAATTTGTAGATAGCCAGTCCCTTTGTAGATAAGCCCACATGCCCCAGTCACATAGTTCCTCCCATCCACATAGTTATCCACATTAGATAAGCCATATTGAAAGACAAAGTCTTTGATATCCATGGATGCAGCAGTTAAGTAGTCATTAGACATACTTACTACAAAAGACCTCTTGAAAATGTTAAAAACATCAAGGATGTCACTTTGAGTACCATGGTATGTCTGACTGAAACCATGGTATTTTCATTCACTTGATGTTTGTACAACCAACAGCTGGATAATTAATAAGATTGAAGAAGAATTAATGCCTTTGGTGAAGAGTATTGAACAAATCTGTCTTGAAAGAAGTCAAATCAGAATGCTGCTTAGAATCAAAGATGGCAAGATTTCATCTCATGTATACATTTAACATATTAGCAGGGAGAACAGTCCTTAAAGAAAGATCATGCTTGCTAAAGTTAAGATGTCAGTGAAAAAGAAGAACCTCAATGAGATGGATTGACCAGTGGACTTAAACATAGCATTGATTGTGAGGATAGGTCAAAATCAGGTATTGTTTCATCCTGTTTGTTGTATCAGGGTCACTGTGAATAAGAAAACCAGTAAGTTTAACAGAAACAAAACTAACAATCTTTGATACTTTTCCTTTCAAATTTGAGAAACATATCTCTTCTTTCCATTCAGATTTTATCTTCTATACTTAAGCATATTGGATTTTCTGTAAAACTTGGATTGCTATGACATTTCCTTATTTCCAGTTTCTCTCATTTGATCATCTTTGTCCTGACATGTGCAGTGTGGTTGCTTGGGATCCTGGCCTCACGTGTGGACAGTGTATGGAGCAGTTGATAGGGGCTGTCCTCACATGTGGACAGTGGTGCTTGATTGGTATCCTCATAGTGCACACATTTACAACCTGCAGCCTTTGTCTGGGTTCATATCTGTGCTCTGGTGTCCTTAGTCAAGGCACTTCCCTTTTTTGTATCCCACTGATATTGTGAAAGGGGATTAACTGTGTCTGCCTATTAACAGGTATGTACCTGCATGCAAAGTATAAGGTAAAGGCCTGGGAGATAAGCAACCATGTAGTCCTATTGTGAACATGGGGAGTGCATTCATATATGAACCATACTTTTAAATGTTTACATGTGATTTTAAAATTCAACTGCACAGCTACAATCTGCCTTACCTTAATTTCCCCCTTCATAAAATTATAAGTACAATGTTATGTCACAGTTTTATGTGGTGGTAGTGAGAAAAACTTTGATGAACTCAAGTTACCCAGGTATGATAAATGTAACGGAGCGAGTCCCCAAAAAGATCACCGAGCCAATTAGCCGAATTAACAAAGTTTATTTCGAGTTTGAACCCGGGCTCCCACATGCTGACACAGCAGGATCCACCTGAGAGCCCCGAATTGATGTCTGCCCATCCTTTTATACCTCTGCTATTCCCCTACCCAACCATACACGCCATGATTGGCCACCCACAGTAGTTTGGGTATTTGTCCACCTTCAATTGGCTAGCCATAGCTCAGGGAAACAGTTTGGAAACCTATTTTAATCTTACCGGTTACTTCAGATACAGGAATGCGGAAAAATCCCTTGTGCCCTTCAAAAGAAGAAGAATTCCACTTTATGGCAGTTGATCCATCAGGGTGGGATTTACCACAGGTGGGGGTGGTTTGTTTGCTAAAAACCACTCAAGCGGGTGGGGTGGGGTTAACTGTACTTTATCAGAAACTGAGTTTCTGATAACTGGTCCTTTCAATAAACAGTGTTAAAACTCCTGCCATTTCTCCAAAGAAAATAAATGACCAATAAGCACATGAAAAAATGCTTAGCATCATTAGTTGAGATACTCATTCCTGCCAGGTTGGTGCTAACTCAGCTGCCCATTGCAGTAAGTTTCTGAGACTGTGAATTTACATGGGCAGAGATTGCTTATTTTTGTCCTTAAACTAGTAGTTCTCAAACCCAGCAGTAGAATGGCCTAAGGAAGATAATCCATTGCTGGTGGGAATAGAAAATGGAGTTGGCTGGAAAAGCTGTTTTCTCAAAATTTAATACAGAACTATTGTATGACCCACTAATATATATATATATATATACACAAGAAAGGAATGCAAACAAAAAATTGTATGTCAGTGTTGGTTGCAGCACTATTCACAATAGCCAAAAGGTGGAAACATGTCCATCAGTAGATGGTATATGGCATATCTATACAGTGGATTATTACTTAGCCATGAAGAGAAGTCTGGATGCATGCTACATGAAGCAACCTTGGAAACATGCTGAGTAGAGGAAGTCACAACAGGGAGGCTCAGTGAGGTGGATTGTCAAATGGCTACAACAATGGGGCTAAGCAGCAATAACTCTTAAGGAGAGTACAGGACTGAGCAGTGCTTTGTTCCTGGTAGACAGTTGATTCGTTGGAACTGATTGGACAACACCTAACAAGGAGGGGGAGAGAAGACGGTGAATGTGGGAGAACATTCTTTGTTCATAGTTGTCTTTGTTAAGTAATTAGAAGAATAATGAGCCGTCTTCTGGATTGTATTCTTACTACGTTGCAGTTGTTCTTTTCACCTTTATTGATGTGTATTTTTAAATTGCAGAAAATCAGAAACCATGTAATTTTTAAACTCCTGAAAAGTTTGAAATTACTAAAAATAAAAAAACCAGTCTTCATTTGATCACATTTTCAAGTAGCTGGTCCAGTATCTTTAGGTCTGTAAAAACAAATTTTTAAAGAGGTAAATGCTGATTTATTAAGGAGCCCACTTTTTTTTTTTAATATTACATGTGAGGCTTTATTAAGGAGCCCACTTTTTTTTTAAAATGCTGATTTAAATACCAATTACTGCACACTTAAACTCAGAGCCAAAGCTGTCAATAAAAGTACCTTAAATTCCTATAATTATGAAAATAACGTTTGATAGGAAAAATTTAGTATACAAAGAAATAAAAAGAAATTCTTTTTATCGTAGATAGGAGTTTATTAGATTCTAAGCTTAACATCAAGAAAACAGATTCTCACCACTGGGCTGAAAGGCAGCATCATGAGAGATGGTGAAGAGATTGAGATTGTTAACAGCTTCAGTTTGCTCAGCTCCACAGTCAACACTTTTGATACCAGCAGCCAGGAATTTAAAAGATGAAATGCTTTGTGAAAGTCTGCTGTCAGGGACCTTACCAAGTACCGAAGAGCAATGATGTCAGTCTGGAGACTAAGATGTATTTGATTCGGGCCATAGTCTTTGCAATTACTTGCTATGGTCAAAGCTTGACAATGACTTGGGTTGATAGGAGGAGAATTGATGCCTTTAAGCTGTGGTGCTGGAGAAGAGTATTGGACTACTAGGAGGTCAAACAGGCTTGTCCTCGAGAGGGTGAGGCCAAGGCTGCTCCGTGGAGGCAAGGATTCTGCAGCTTCATCTGACCTACATTGGACATGTTGCAAGAAGGGACCTTAGAGAGGAACATCATGCTTGGGAGGTTGGAGGGACAGTCCAAGAGAGGAAGACCCCCAATGAGATGGATTGATTCAGTGACTGGGTAATGGGGGTAAGTGTGTTGGAGACAGTAGGATTGGCACAGGATAGAGCAGAATTTAGGGCTGTCGTACATAGGGTTGCTATGAGTTGCACGCAAGCCAACAGCACATAACAAGAATCTCGAAGTGGGTAACAATGTGCTCTTCAGCAGATCATTCATGCTGTGTCAATAATGCCATATCTGTGATAAAGCATCAACAGTGTCCAAGAATGCATACTTTCTCACTTTTTTTAGATGGAGGAATAGTATAGATGTTTAATGAGACACTGATAAAGCCATGAAGATAAGGATCAAACCATCTAACTGCCCCCATTCACACCTCTCAGTGGACCCTTGAAATGGGAGAAGCTTAGAGGGGCTGATATACATCAGAAAGTGATGCTAGGTATCTTCCTAACCATCTTATTGGATGTTTGGTATTGAGTGGATTTTTGACTACTTACGAGCTGGCCTGGAGGAGGAAAGGAAGTAGCCATCCTGGCCAGACCAGCTCCGAGAGGGTATGCTGCACAGACCAGACCTGTCCAAGCTATTTGTTCCTCACCCTCCAGTGAGCTGGGGATTTATAGTGGGAGGGTGGGAAGGCTGAACAGTTTTAGCACTGGTGTACCTGACAACTATAGTAAATAAAGCATTTTCAGATGCCCCCTCCCTTGTTTTGCAGGCCTGTGGCTGTAACAGAATGCCAGGTTAGAGATTTAGAAGTCATTCAGCTGTGAACTGCTGCTCATACAGCAGGAGAGTATGAATACTGTGTTAGCTTTCTTTTTTAAAAATTTTTTGTGTGTGTGCTAGCTTTCTTTAAAGAGTTGTCAGTAAATAAAATAATTCCAAAGACTCAATTAAAAGAGCTTGTATATATTTAGATTAGTCTTAGCAAGAGAATATGCATAATGTTTTATTAGAGTTGTGTATCTTTGTATGTGTCATTTAGACATCTATCCAGGATAGGCCTCAGAACAAAGCCTGATATCCCACTTGAGAAGACCTTTTTCCATTGAATGGGACTTGTGGATTAAGGGTTTTATGTAGTGTTCAAATAAATGGTCACATGAATCTAAAATCACAGATTGTAGTCACAAATCTTCACTAACAGGTGTTTTTATTAAAGGCTGAATTAGAGTCATGGAAAATAATGATATTTACGTAATAGTTTTGTTCATTTAAAAAGTGAGTTTTTAAGGAACTATGATAAAATTTCAGTTAATATAGAAAATAGCAGTTGGAAGTATCTTATTCCAGAACATTTTTCACATGTTAGAGAAACAGCAATTACCATAGCAAATAAATAAGGTAAGGAATTGTATTTTCCAAGATAAAGTAATCACATGCAAAAGACAAACATTTGGTTTCATGATAGTGATCTTACCATTTGTTCCTTCACAGCATTTTGGATCCCCGCCTGCACCATTAAGTCATTTACATTCTTCTGTAGGTCACTGATTCGATTTCCCATCTCTTCCAGTACAATGTTAAAGATAATGTTTGGCTAGAACTCAATACAGAGGCCTAAAAGGACTTCAGACCTGCTGCAGCTTGTCCTGTTCTGCTGGAACTGACAGAACTCCAGGGAAGAGGAGATAAACAATGGTATAGTTGTTAGATGAACGTTGAGAATGCAAATCCATGATTCACAGCTGTGATGCTGTGTGTGCTCTGAAGTGTTAGTCTGGGAGCCCAGTGAGGACTAGGCTCCCTGTGTGGACATGTTGGTGCTGTGACTATTGGGCAATGGCAGAGATACTTGGTTTAGCTAACCTAATGATTATGTAACTAATGACAATTTTAAAGTGATTTTGCTGTGTTTTAAAATATTACATTTTAGAATCTTTCCTCCCCATCACCGAGATGAGAACCCATCTATAATATCAAAAGTAGTAAATTAATGACCCACTTTACATAATAATACATTTTGATAGTTTTAAAATGTACAATTTTGCATAATTTTACAATTTTATGTAAAATGTACATAAAATGTAAAATGTACAATTGTACACAGCTTTAGTTTGCTTGGCTCCACAGTCAACAGTCTTGGCACCAGCAGCCAGGAAATTAAAAAACGTATTGCGATGGGAAAGTCTGCGGTTAGGGACCTCTCCAAAGTACTGAAGAGCAGTGGTGTCTCTCTGGAGACTAAGGTGCGTCTGATACAGGCCATGGTCTTCACAATCACTTGTTATGCATCAGAGAGTTGGACAATGACCAAGGAGGATAGAAGGAGAATTGATGCCTTTGAGCTGTGGTGCTGGAGAAGAGTATTGAGGGTACCATGGACTGCTAGGAAAACAAACAGATTTGTCCTGGAAAGGGTTAAACTGGGTGGCTCCTTGGAAGGATTCTGAGGCTCTGTCTAACATACTTTCGACATATTGTGAGGAGGGACAGGTCCTTAGAGAAGGACATCGTGCTTGGGAGGGTGGAGGGACAGCACAGGAGGGGAAGGCCCTCTATGAGGTGGATTGATTCAGTGACTGGGATAATCGGGATGGGAGTGTCAGAGACAGTGTGATTGGCACAGGACAGAGCAGAGTTTAGGGCTGTTGTACATAGGGTCGCTATGAGTCACAAGTGACTCGATGGCACATAACAACAAAAACAGTTTTAAAATGTTTACCCATAGTACTCTTTGTCATACCATTATTTCTTGATAAAAAGTTTGAAGGGCTTTTGGGAAAGCCGATTGGTGATATGGATGTTACGCTCCTTGCACAGTGTGTGTATATATATATATATATGTGTGTATATATAGATGTGTGTGTGTGTGTGTGTATATATATATATGTCACACAGATGGCCTGTGCTGTCATAAAATAGGAAGTGTGGTCTTCTGCTCAGGGCTGTGATTAATGGTCAGGATTCCCAGAACTAAGGTATGGATACTGGGAAGACCGGAGTACACAATTGTCCATGAAGAGAAGGACGTTCCCTGATAACTTCTTGATAAATCAAGTCCAAAGTGATTCATGTTACAAGAAAAGGATATTTCTGAGGTTTAGAGATGCAGTTAGGGCTTGGAAATGTTCTTGAAGTTCTTGAAATAGATGTTCTGCCTGAAAGAATGAACCATAAGGAACTGAATGTGTATTTTACAAGTCTTGACACGATATAAGGCCAGCTGCGTTATGACAGAGGTACCAAGGCCTTTTTACTCAGCACAGTGCTGCAGCATGGAATGGGTGTGTACACAAGAATAAACAGGCAAGCCTCATGTAACCTCACACCTACAAAGCACCAGTCTAAATGTACTGACTGAGATGACGAACAAAGTTACAGAAACCATGAGATTTGTGGACATCATTAGGTGGAAGTGTGCTGAGTCATCCAGAGAAACCTCTTCTCCCTCTTGGTTCTAACTTCTTGGGCCTCATCCAGCCTCTCCCTGAGCCCAGAAGAAGGCTGAGGGGAGAGTGGACTCTCCCCCCTTCCCCCCATCCCCGGTGGGCGGAGGCTCACATTTTCCCTCCTGGAGCCAGAGCCTCCGCAGCGCGCTTGGGTCTGCCCCCAACCCGGTTGGAAGGAGCTGAGGCCGGGCGAGGGATGGGTCAGGTGAGGGGTCTCCACTCACCACGGTCTGGAGCGGCCCGGCTGCGGGGACTGCGGGGTCCGGCGCCCGAGTGTCCATCGCGTCTCCCTCGGCGCCTGCGAGATTCCGACTGGACTGTTCTTGAGACGCTACCTGCAGTGATGTTGGGAATGCGCCCTGCAATTAAGCATTTAAGGATGAGTTTTCGGGCAAGAGTCAGGCCGCCTAGATTTACAAGGGTGGGGGACGGTGTACAGGTGACGTGAGTCAGGCAGGGAGCACGGCGTAAAGGGGATACGAGAAGAGGGTGGTGTGGGAGTGACACGGGCAGAACTGGGGGGGGTTCAACGACATGGGGAGGACCGGGTCAGGTGCACCTGCAGCAGCAGTGTGGGAACAGTGCACAGGTGACAGGGGGCAGGAAGAAGGCAAAGGGACCTGTGTGCTGCTGGCTGCGCGCGTCCTGGTCCTGGGATCTTATGCGGCTTCTGGCCTGTTTTACAGCTCTTCACTCGCTCATTAACAACCCTTCGTTTCTGGTACATCAGAGCAGGTGCCCACGAGCGTCCTGTGACTCCGCTGTATC